CTATTTGATTAGTGTTGCTCCTCTCAATACTTTTTCGACTACCCCCATTAAATTTATTACTAGCATATATTTTAGCTTTGGAGTCATGAATTTTGATTGCTGATTCCGGAACTCATCTAATGAAGTGAGTGTCTTTGTATTATTTCCACGTGTGATGAAAAATTGCAAAGAAATTGTATGAACGTAATCGAGTGAGAAAAAGGAGTGCATCGTATCCATCCTCGCGGCAGTCTCCCATTTTTCCTCGGTTCTTCTCCCACTACCCGCGAGTCGACGAATGCATCATGCGATGCAGTTCGTCCCGCATTCCAGTAAAGTCCCTGATCTCCTGCCCTTGCGGTTTAGCATTCTCGTTAAGCCGCGCTGGAATGCATCTCTTACACGTTCGCGAATAAATCGACGGTTTTATGAATAAATACCGCAGGCGAATTGCATCGGGATAAGTACAGGTAAGTCGCGGTCGATGGTTAGACTCTAACCGAGTCGATCCGACAAACAGCCTCTTCTTAATTGCAAAACAATTCCAGTTTGCGTCATAAATTCCGGTTCATAAATATTTGAATAAAAATGAATACAGTATTTCATATGATAATTGCAATGCTTATTAAGGAGAATATCATTGAATGCGTCTCTGCTCGGTGCACGATGTCTCTTCATTTCTCGTGCACCGTCTCTTTCTACGAGCTTTCCGGCAAAACGTAACATCAACATCAGAATGTCATACATTTTCAATGACTTCATACTTATCGAAGGAATAAGGTAAATGTCCCAATTCCTATTCACTCGCTTATTTTTTTACAATTTTTAAATAACAGAATTATCATTCACTGACTTATTTTTGTAGAATTTTAAGAAAATTATAGAAAAATTTGTCAGTGAGTAGAAAGTGAGCAACAATCCTTTTTTTTATTAGAAATTCTTTTCCTTATTTTTTTATTAGAAATTCTTTTCCTTATTTTTTATTAGAAATTCTTTTCCTTATTTTTTTATATAGAAATATAAATCTAAGCAGTAGAATTTAAATAATTGCAATAATATTTAATCTTCTCTACTATATATATTTGATACTTGGAATCAATTTATAATCCCTGACGTGAACAGAAGTTGGTACATTTATTTTATTGCATTTTGGAACATCATCTGCGTTGGACTGTTCAATATAAAAGTTTCACCTAGCCAACGATAGATCTGTTTATCCATTCGATGGACGGACACTTTAGAGAATGCGTTAAACGACCGTCTTCCAGCATGCCGTGCATTCTATTCTAATGCGAACGACGGGACCTAAGCCGAACGAGGGAGGAAGTAAAGAGCGATAGGTTAGCGTGGAATTTATTTCGATGATAACCGTAAGGGACACCCGCGCTCCTCCTCACGGCTAGAGGATACGAGAACGCGGAAGTGCGTACGTTCACGTTCGGCACGTAGCGTAGGTTTGTATAAGTAGCCGCGAACGTTCATAACCCGTAAGAAGCTGTTGTCGTGCAAACAACGCGTTCTATGATAGCACGCAGGAAAACGCTTGTCGCTAGTACCGTAAACACTGTCAGAGACCTATACGAGATCCGATATCTACGCTCTTTCGCTCAATATTTGCCGTATACTCGACGACCGTAATTTATAGCACGACCGTGCCATGCCTCCGCAACAGCAACTCCGATCGCCCGTTGCATCCCCTCGAAATCAATGAACTCTCCTTTTCTAGTGACAGGTTTCTTAAAAATCGCTATACATTTCGAAAAATGCTTCAAATAAAAGTTCCTTTTCTTCTAACTTCGATATTTAATGAGTTACATATGATTATATGGCATTTTATTGATGTTGAGAAAATTCGACCATTCCACTGTCGAATCAGCGAACTTTTGACAAAAAATTTCGTTTTTCTTCAATAACTCCTAAACCCTTGGAGATACGGGAAAATTGCATAGGACCTTTCTTGTAGAGCTCGACGAGATCTACAATTTCCATGTAAAAACTTTTCGCTAGCTTTGATAGTTTACGAGTTATTTGCAAATAACTGTTTTTTCGTTTTTCGTAAATAACTCGTAAACTATTAATGCTAGAGACAAACTTTTACATGGAAATTGTAGGTCTCTTCGAGCTCTACAAAATGAGCGTATAAACTTCCCCGTACGGCCAACGGTTCAGGAGTTATTGAAGAAAAACGAAAATTTCACAAAATCTGAAGGGGTACCCCTTGGAAAAATCTCGGAAAAATAAAAAAATTTTTTTTTGTCAAAATATCGAAAAATATCGAAATATATTCTAGAAGACGTCAAAAGTTCCACACTTTTTAGGCTTGTATTTCCTCAAGTCAGTTGTTTCCTCTAACTTTTGGTTATCTCGCGTATCGCCCTTATCTCTCACTTAATCAACCACCTGGGATCAAGTGTGCATTTCTCGTCATATCTGTACACTCGTCGTCGTTTTAATTTCAGTTATCGATTAAATTCGAAGCAAGTGTGCCGAGTAAGAAGAGCCTCTGTCAAATCAAAATACGTCACGTGCTAATAACGCGACGCTCACGTGAATCTATCAATGTGACTTGCATACATTTCTTCAAGAACTGTGAATTAAATGTGATTTCTATGGACTAGTTTCTTGGGCTATCGAAATTGATGTCTGAATGGACTGATCGAGAAAAAAAACGAGCGATGGAGGTTTTAGAATCTAAGCTCGCTTGAGCTCTTATGCAATTTTTGTTTAACGTGTTTAGAAATAATATACACTTTTTTTTATTGAATTTTAATTATAAAATCTGGTGAAACTGTGAAGCTTCTATGAGTGCTCTCTGCTTGATACGGCACTTAACGTTCAGACCACTTTAAATACTATGTCTAATAATTAAACTGGCGACGATCTGGCCAAACATTAATTCATTATCAGTCCCGACGTCGCGTCGTAAAGAATAAGTGAAACATGGCGATTTTGGTAGCAGCGGATTATGCGGTAATCGCAGTGACTTTGATTATCAGTTCTGGAATCGGTGTGTATTATTGGCTCACTGGTGGGAAACAAAATTCGACAGAGGTATGTCTTTCTGTTTTAATAAATCTAACTTATTCAACTATCTCTGCTGTACTATGTCTACGATTTGAAATCAATTTACAATCTTTCTTCTCTTACACTCCTGATTATTCAATTATTTATTGTAATAAAAAATAAAATTGTAATGTCTAAAAAAAACACAGGCTAGCAAGAATCCTTTTTTATATAGAAATATAAATCTAAGCAGAGTTTAAATAATTGCAATAATATTTAATGTTCTCTACTATTTTTGCTACTTGGAATCAATTTATGATCCTTATTTTTCTTCTCGATTAACAAATTCTTAGAACCAATTATGGTTCTCGATATCTACTTGTCTTTAATATTTAAAACGGAACAGAATTCCGGTAATGTTAATGTAATTTCGACGTGGTCCACGGCAGGAATATTTCATGGCGGACAGATCGATGCGAGCGGCAACGATCGCTATAGGCTTAACGGTTTCGTACCTATCCGCGGTCAGTTTGCTAGGAGTCAGCTCGGAAAATTACGTTTATGGTACCCAGTACGCCGTGATCAATCTCTCCTACGGACTTGCCACTCCGTTCGTCGCTCACTTATACATGCCGGTGTTCTTTAAGCTCGGCACGACTAGCGCTTTCGAGGTGAGTTCACTAGTTTTACTACTACTTGTTACAAATTTTCTCTACCAATTCCATCGTGCAAAATTCCATTCTGATAGCAGGATATTTAAAAACTTGGGAATTAATGAAGATGTTAGAATGACACGTGAAATGTACAAGGTGTATAAAAATTATATGTCACGACTGGATTCCACATCTCTTTAAAAAATGATTCACAAAATTAACCTCGACTGAATATAATATTTCGAATGAGAAATATTCTGGTATAAAAATACAGAATCACCTCTCTTCGATTCTAACACTTTTTCTGGGACATCCTG